AAAGACACCGTACATGCAAACATACGCGATCGCTAAGCGTCTTATAAAATGGCTGTTCAAGGAAGTAGCAAAACGTACCGGAAACTACTGTATTCAAAATTAATGTGGTCTTGGTGGATCTCTAAATCTATCATCACGAACTCTGTCATTGTTTCGACCTGTTGCTAAGCGACCATATTTATCACGTTCAACATCGAAGTCCTAAAATGGACAATATTGTAAAATGTATCCCTAACAGAGAGTACATCAACAATCTATGTAGTAAGGTGTCTGTGAACACAATAATATACTAACTACCTCTTTGACGACAAGCTTCCTTCCTTTAATATCATATCTGTGCATTTTTTCTACAGCAATTTTAACAGAGTCTGAATCTTCAAATTCGACAATACCACAACCTCGTGGTTTGTCATTTTCGTCAGTAAAAAGTTCTACATGTGCAACCTTCCCAACCTCTGTCCTGAACAAATCTTTAAGATCTTGCCAACGAAAATCATAGGGAATGTTTGATACATAAATTCGGCGGTCTGAAGGTTTCCGACCACCACGATCGTTTCGTTCTCTGCTTCGATCGCGACTCGTAGAATTTATACGATTTTGTCTGTCCGATCTCCGATTACGATCGCGTTCCCTACTTCGGTCCCTCTCGTCATTATTTTGTACCTGATTCCTAATGTTCAAAAAAATTACATAGAAATAACGTATACGAATAAATTTTCAATATTATTGCATATTATGATGCCGGACTATATCGGATGTGTTCTCTTAGTATAAGTTTACATAAACTTTAATCAACGTTATGTAATTAAGGAACACTTGTATTAAAATTTCTCAGTTTTCCTATATTCAAAACGCATTAGCGTCAGTTTAAAGAAAATATACATGCATGATTTTGCATGCCGACAAAGAAGTTTAGATAACTGGATCTAATTATTAATTTTATACTTACTCCTCTTGCTTAAGCATCGTTGAGCCTTCTTTTACTCAACACGCTAAATTACTCGAAGCACTTATATTGTAGCTTGCAATTAAAAAGAATTAAAAGACACCGTACATGCAAACATACGCGATCGCTAAGCGTCTTATAAAATGGCTGTTCAAGGAAGTAGCAAAACGTACCGGAAACTACTGTATTCAAAATTAAGTTTCTGATTAAACGAATGCAAATTGATACGCGAGGAACATTACCACATAAAGTTAGAATAATTATTACGTTCCTATTACGTTTTCTGTAATTACGAACTATACTTCCTAAGATTGAGAAATATTTCTGTTCCGAAATTGTTATAGCATTAAACATAACCTGTCTTTGAATTTTCAAATGAAGGACATTATTCGCAATTATCGAAAGTATATAACAAGTGATCTTTTATTTTGGATACTCTCTATATTAAATATAACTTTTACAAATTTTCAATTCTCTACGTTCTCGAGTTCCTAATTTTTAAACGCCTATGCAAGTACAAAAATTTCAAATCCCTGGAAATTTGGTAAACCATTACATTCTTGAATTAAAATATTTCTAGATTTGAAAATTAAAAAATGGGATCAGTCATTATAAATCTATTTATTTTTGTCCACCGTGTATATAACCGATGTAGCGAGAGTACGGTGGAGAAACGTACTAACTGGCGGAGAGCCTACTGAAGTTAGCCGAGTTGCGCGAATTATGTTCTTATCAAACAACGAATATTAGCAAGTTACGAAAAATTAATTCGATCTATCGCAATTTTCAACGCAATGTTCAATTTGAAATTAAATAATCGATTCTTTTTAAATGTCATGAATATATTAGTTTTTGATGTTCTACATAGTTCAGCATGTTGAAGATATAAGAAAGAAATTGAAATTTGATATGAATCATTGAGATTACAATTTTTTTTTGCTATTTTTTTGAGGAGTTTTGTATGAGAATATCAGCAAATGTGGAGCCACCCGTCAGGTCGTATATCACGTCGTTTCCGAATAGCAGAAGACATCGCCTCGCGGTAACCAATCACGAGTGCAGCTTGTTCATCTCTCGTTTTTGGTAGTACTTCTGACGTGCGCAACTGAAGGTGGTGGAAGTTCGTATTTTTATTGTAAAATTTGTAAAGAGAATGGCAGCTCACTGGATGCGAAATGCTGTAAGTAACACGTGTCAATCGAGAAATCCCGGAAACAAGCCGAGTCCTGCATATAACCCTAATTTTTCCACGATGGAAAGGTTAGAATATCCCACTGATTAGTTATATATCCGTCTGCTTGACTTGTAATATCTCAGTAGTCTGTATCCTATTCTCATGTCATTTATAGATTTTATTTTTTTATATAACATAAGTTTCATGTTAATTTCCCATCATTTGTCTGTATAAAGTACTGCATCATTCATTGCACGTGATTATTAATAATTATTAATCATATCGATGTTTTAATCTCAGGTCCCAAAAATCGGCTCTGTCCGCTTTTATAGTAGTAAAGTTCACAAATGTACACTTATTCCTGGAGACGGTATAGGACCAGAGATCTCTGCTGCTGTCCAGAAAATTTTTGATGCTGCCAAGGTGAGGTGGTTTTTATACAGAATTTTGTAATTTAATGATTTCTTGATGCCAACGTTTTTATGTAACATGCATGTCTGTTAGATGAGTAGAAGGTATTAACAATATGTATTTGTGTTGACACTTATGTTTTGCATGATACTTGACATTTTATAAGCGTTTGTTTAGTTTATGGTTATAATCTTACAAGGTGACCCTATGTGTCCTACTACTAACCTTAAGGAGTTTATTTTAATCTTACTCTTATACAGGTTGATCCAATTGTAAGCTAATTCAATCTGCTCTTACTGTAGCTAAAGTATGTTTTTTAATTTGTTAATTTTTTGTAAACATATAACATTTTATGTGTGTTCTTTATAATTGAATGATTATTAGTTTGATTTCATTTATGTAACATGACATTACATTATTTTTATACTTCAATGACAATGCACAGCTTCTTAGACTGGATGAAACAAATTTTAATGATAATAACCATATATTGTATATTGCATAACACTGTTACTTAACTTTTAGTATTTACAGCTATATGTATGTCAACTTTGTATGTTTGTGTAATGGTTTGATAAAAGTAAATGTGTCTGCTTTCAAATAAAATTTTATTAAAATACATTTTATATGTTAATAATTACAATATTATTTGTTATTAAATACCAGGTACCGATAGAATGGGAATCTGTAGATGTCACACCGGTAAAAGGTCCAGATGGAAAATTTGGAATCCCACAAGCTGCAATCGATTCAGTTAATAGGAATAAAATTGGTTTGAAAGGACCTTTAATGACTCCTATAGGCAAAGGACATAGGTCTTTAAATCTTGCCTTAAGGAAGTAAGTAATGTTATTGCTTAATCAAATTTCTCAACATTGTTACATTACAAATAAAATTAATACTTGTTTTCTTTCCTTTCCAGAGAATTTAATTTATATGCAAATGTTCGACCCTGTCGTTCCTTAGAAGGTTATAAAACATTATATGACAATGTTGATGTTGTCACAATAAGAGAAAACACAGAGGGAGAGTATTCTGGTATAGAACACGAAATTGTGGAAGGTGTTGTACAGTCTATTAAGTTGATTACAGAAGAAGCTTCCAGACGAGTAGCAGAATTTGCTTTCCAATATGCTCAGAATAACAATAGAAAAAAGGTTCATAGTTTACAGCTATAAAATATATTATGAAAATATTTTAAATAACTATTTATTTGTTTTATAGGTTACTGCTGTACATAAAGCAAATATTATGAGAATGTCAGATGGTTTATTCTTAAGGTGCTCTAGGGAAGCTGCACAAAAATTCCCTTCTATTAAATTCGAAGAAAGGTATCTAGATACAGTATGTTTAAATATGGTGCAAGATCCCAGCCAATACGATGTACTTGTAATGCCTAACTTATACGGAGATATTTTATCTGACATGTGTGCTGGTCTGGTAGGAGGACTTGGCCTTACACCAAGTGGCAATATTGGTTTGAATGGTGCATTGTTTGAATCTGTGCGTATCAAGCTTATAATTTTTTATAATTTTATAATATTTCATGTTTTAACACAAATATTTATCATGTAAAATTAGGTGCACGGAACCGCTCCGGATATTGCAGGTCAAGATAAAGCAAACCCGACAGCCTTGCTACTATCTGCTGTGATGATGCTTAAATATATGGGATTGAACCAACACGCAAAAATTATCGAAAACGCTGCCTATGACACCATTAAGGAAGGCAAATATCTAACAGGAGATCTTGGAGGAAAAGCAAAATGTAGTGAATACACTGATGAAATTTGCAAAAAGGTTGCAGCAGTAGCGAAGTAGATAGTGTAAATGTTTATGAAATATAAACTGCCGAATACTCGTAGAAATGATTCGCGTCAGGTAAATCACTGTTTTTGAATGTAATTATTATTTCTAAAATTATTGTCAATGCACATCTTCCACAGCAACTTGCAATTTGATGAAGCGAGTTGCGAAAGTTTATGATACAGGAAGATGTTTCATTCATCTGTTCACACTGATTTAGAAAATTTTTGTCGAGTACATGCACTAGCTTATTGTAAATCTTAATGTTACTCAACTTCATGGATTTGTTAATGCGTAATAGCATTTAATATGATTTTATTGTGGCGAAAAACGCGCAATCCCACCGCGTGTATTGACTGAATATACGTTTATGTATGTTTGTCATACTTCTTTACTATGGAAAAAAAATGATTCTAATAGAATCTGTGAAAATTAGACATGTAAATTAATCTAGAAACACTGTATAATACTTTTAAATGAAGTTGTTGAGGAAACGTTACCTCGAAGAAGAGTTTCAGGAATCAACATTGCGCAGTATTACATATTAATAAAATATGACAAATACCACGTGTCGTTTATTATTTAACCTTCAAACAGTTCATACATAGCGAGTAGTTGCCCGTATAATCTATTCGTAACGAAGTTAGGTAATGTTCGGTATACTTGTTGGTAAATCGTGCTTCATAAATAAGATACTGTAGTTTTTTGTGTATAATTTTTTGCTTTACAAGATTAGTGACTCATTCATCACATACAGTCGCAATATCTTGTTTGTCTGTTTATAATAATACATTAGTTAGAAATGGATTTGAATTTATTTACAAACAATACCACTCGAAATAAATTATGCAAATTTCTTTTTACTTTAATTTTATGCATCTGATAAAAAGAAACGTTCGAAGGTGGTAGTTGCGATCTTTACCCAGTATCAACGCCGTGTAATTTCCCTCCTTGCGGTGTTATGTTATAGCACTCGTCCCCAACTGCTTCATAATTCTCCCTCGCCTCCACCCTTTGCTCCACAATGGAGTATGCTTCTCAGGAAAACTCTCAAGTATGAGAAAAGTTGTCAGCTATATTTCATCGACGAAGAAAAAGGAAGGGATGAGGTGGGATCCGGTGTCGTCTTCGCTGCTCGTTAATTCTTTCTGTGATTTATTGAGATTCCCCAAGTGAGTAATGACTGACTTCTTGCAAATTTTTGATATTAAATTTTACTCTTACCCTGATATATAGAACGATGGAATTTATTCTATAACCGAATACTTCTCATTCTTCCTTCGATGTTTGTGACAAAAACAACGAACTCTAAAATTTATCTATACTTAATCTTCAATTATCTTTAACACGTTACGTACATCTGTGGTTAATTTTAGAGGAAACTATTTTAAGTTGTAAATTATACTTCGTTAAATACGTGCAAACTCGTTTAGTAAAAGAGGGTGCATTTTTTAAACAACGACGATACAAGGCGTTTAAAATGAAATTAACAAAACTTGCCGACAGTTACAGGTGATGGCGTGTGTCTTGTACAAGGTGCATCTCGGGTTGCAGCGGGGGTGGTTTACACAAAGGTGGAACATACTCGAGGGCGAAGTGTGGAAAAGCAAGTGGACGCATGCATATTCAGCGTACTCGGAGGCCGACGTAGTCATAGGAATAATAAAAATTCGAGGGTTGAAATTATTTAGATTTATGCCCGCTCTCTTGTTCTCGTGCCGTTGGTGACGAGAAGCGATTCGATTCCGGGGAACAAATTTCATGCATTATTCAGGACTTGCCGCAATGCACCCCGGTCAATGGAACCGATCCTTTGGAAAAAGTCGTTTTTAATCTCTCGTCGCGTTCCAATAATGCACATGCACCCGTTCGTTCTGCTCTCACCTCCCCTTTCGCCGGTGGAAACCGTGTTTTCTGCCTTTAATGCGGACGCGAACAATAAATCGAGATCTATCGGTGTGCCTCTCTCCGAATGCGACCAGCTTAGAGTTCACCGATTTATTTTTCGCGTAGTTCGTAATCGTTGGCTCGATTGTTTGAGAGGATGATAAAAACTGTCTATCGAGCAGTTAGCTGGAAGCGTCACCCAGTTTCAGTTTTGCATGTTAATGTCACCAAGTGTTGTCCAAGGATAAGCTATTTAGAATTCGAGCTATTTAGAAACAGCTTCGTCAGAAATAAGATCTGTGTATTGTTATGGGTCAAAGTGACACTATTTACCGCGTTACGAAATATTCTAAGCATTGAAAAACATTAACAGGGTACAACTAGAAAACTGAATTTTTACGGTTAAAATGAATCATTCGTTCCGTTATTGACAGATTGTAGCGTTAATTAATAATTTCACTGGAACAGTCTGTAATCGCCTTACAATGGATTAACGGATCTGCCAGCTGCCAGGAGGAAAGTTTTATTATTTTTTTCTGTCGATCGAACGACACGGACCATAGTCGACGCACCTTTGCGCGAAAGTGAACGCAATGAAGAGGAACGAAACGGTTCTGATCGTCCTAGCGATTCTCGTGGTTGCTGCCAATGGACGAGTTTATTACTTGCCGACTTTGGATGAGAATCGATATTCAGGCTTAACTTATCCCATTCCGAACGAACAATCTTCGCGAGATTTGGATCTCAGCTTTTCTGCCGGGGACGACGAGGTTGATAACAAGATACGCCCTGTTAAAAGAGTAAGTCCTCGATACTTGAAATATTGCTATTGAAAATTCTTGAATTTTGAACCTTGGTTGGCTAACGATTATCAGCAAAGTAAAAAATTTGCAAAAAGTATCTTCGCCACTTTGTTTCGAATAACGAGGATGAGTTGGGAAATTCACGCTGCGCATAAAAACGTTGCAATAAAAAACGTGATAAACGGTCTGATAACTTGCTCGCGAGTGCAACAAGCGCCTTACATTTGTGTTTATCTTGTTACATGGTAATTGTCATGTTGCTCTCGTCATAAATTACCATGTCCATTTTATCATTCATTTCACTTGGAATTTTCTTACTTGCACAATTATTTGAAAGTATAGATACGAAGAGTTTGAAATAAAATCAGTAATTGGCGAGATATTAGGCAAGCACTGTTCGAAAGAAATAATAGATTACAATTTTGTTTCACCACTGTAATCTTCCGTTTACGGTAAATGATTCGATAAACTGACTCTTGACTGTGCAATAAATTATTCGGGAGATTTATGGCAATGTGGAATTCATTGCTAATGAGTCATGGAGTAACAATCTTTTATCAAACGTTCTTCGACCTGTAATGTTTTATATAACTCCCAAATTCACAAATTTCGAAATTCTCATACCTCAAAATTTCTATATTCCCAAATTCCAACGTTCCCAAATTCTTACATCTCGAAATTTCCACATCCCCAAATTCTCACATTCCGGAATTCCCACATTCCAAAATTTCTACGACCCCAAATTCCCACATTCTCAAATTCTCAAATCCCCAAATTCCCAAGTTTTCGAATTCACACTCCCCGAAATTATCAAGCTCCCAAATTCTCAAGCTTCCAAATTCCCAAGCTTCCAAATTCTCAAGCTCCCAAATTCCCAAGCTCCTAAATTCTCACTCCCCCAAATTCCTAAGCTCTCTAATTCTCACTCCCCCATCTCTCCAAATCCCCAAGTTCTCCAATTCCCAAATCCCCAAATCCCCAAATCGCCAAATCCCCAAATTCGCAACGTACCACCAATCACTCACCCACCCCCGAGTAAAACCTATAATATTTTGCTAAGTGTTCTTCTTATAATAATAAACGGCTTGTCAAATATTCTGATTAAAAACGTTCCATCAAATCACTGATAAAGAAAATTATCTTAAAACGATGAAAAGTTCAGCACACTACAATTTTCAAGCTCCCAAATTCTCAAGCTCCCAAATTCCCAAGCTCCCAAATT